TGTGTGCTTTAATGTCTGTGGTGCCCCTGATCGGAATGTGTGCTTTAATTTCTGGTTTTATGTTTTGTCTATCTATACATACTTATACGGTCTAAGGAATGAATCATATAATCATATAATCTTATTAGAATACTCAGATGTTCTGTTCTTAAGAGAAAAACATGAAAAGTCATGAAAGATAAATACTCACTTGTTGCTTAGTTCCGGCGCATTGTCAAAGTCATGCTCCCGGTGTGGAAGGAAAGGTAGACGGAAACCTTAGAAGCTTCCACGTCTCAATAAAACGAACCAAAGGCGGCGGCTGTCTTGTCACCTGCCCGGTGGCTACGCTCAGCATTGTATATGTATTCAGTGAACCTGAGACATTATATATGAAATGTATATGAGAATGAATGATGAATTACTAGGCCCCTTAACATTTCGGATATAACATTGCTAAAGCTAACCTGTGTGTATGTGTGTGTGCGTATGTCTGTGTTTCTCTGTATGTATGTGTGTGTGTGTGTGCGTGTACATGTTTATGTGCATGTGAGTGTGCGTGTACATGTGCGTGTACGCGCGCGTGCGTGAAATGAGATGTGTAAGGTGTGTAAGAGTAGACGAACGGCTTCAGAACTTATTGGAACTACATACAGCAGGAACGGCGTATTAAGAGAATACTGTGGATGATTTTAATAGTTCCATCGGGGCAGTTCATACTTTAAAGAAAGTACGGATTACAAATTTCATATTTTATTTATCCGCACTGTATAGTTCAATACTTATGGAAATAATTAAATAGTTGTTGTGTGTAGAGACGTAATGATGGATGGGAAAGACAGTACCCCTGGGCGTTAATTGTATGAGGCACTTTATAAAGTTTCTACTTTATCCTTATTGGAATATAGTAAATAGTAATATGCAAAGACCATAAGATCATTAAGAGCAAAAGACATGCACAAGAACAACTAGAATATTCACACAGGGTATTCATGTCGAGTCTTGATGAAGAAATGCAGAGCAATTTTAATGCGTGTGCTGACCAGACATGAGAAACATTGAAGGTTGCCAACGCTTCTATGAATGAAGACCACGCTGGTTCGCCACGCTATTTACTCTTTTTCCTCTATTCCAATCGTCAATGATAGAAAAAGAGACCAACTCCATAAATGTCCAGATGGAGGACGTGCAGAAGAGTAAGCGATGTTGGACTGTCATGGAACAGGAAGGTGGTTGTCACGAATATTGTTGAGAAGATTTACATATTCGGAAGATTGTAAGAGTTGGATGACATGTTCGGATTTCTCCTGGATGTGCAAAAGGAACTGGCCTGAAGGAAAAGGCAGTAAAGTTGCCACACCTTAAGGAGTTAACATTCTTCTTTCTTCTTTTATAGGGCTTTAGACTATACTATGGCCTATACCCCTTAAAGTATTAACAATAGGGATGGATATGACTTAAACAAAAGATTGTGAAATGTGTTATCAAGTCGATAAAATGCATTTATGACTTGGCCTTGTCTTCAGCTGCTGATAAAAATACTCATTAAAAAACATGGCTCTTCCATAAAAAAAGGAGTCGAGGAAGTCAGAAGCTCCTCAGGAACTGATTAGAACACTTTCCCGTGCCAGCAGCGTAAACGTAACTCGTGGTGAAAAGATTTTAGCCTCAGCAGCTCAGAGGATTAAGAGTGGTTCAGTGCCCCGGCTCAATTAGGTACTGGAAAGGAACGGATAAAAACACGTAAAGTTTGTTAATGTGATCGATAAGTTCGCAAGAAAGCTAAAGAAAAAAAAAATGATGTAGAAATATTCATATATATCATAAATAGTATGTGATCTGCTTATTACCCTTGTTTAATTTATTTAGTATTATTCAACTGCACAGTCAGAAAGACTCACGCCACAAGCTGACTTTGCCCCCTTGCGTCACTCACAGCCGAACACGCCTCTGGTAAAATGTCATTTTTCTTAATAACGCTAAAAAAGCCAGCACAGTGCAGTCTTCCCCTGATATACTTACAGTGGATATGGATCTTAGCATGTTGAGTCTCCTCCCACAACCAAACTTAACCACGGTGCGCTGACTGGCCCTTCCTTCCCGACCAAGAGTGGGCCAAGGATAAAGCTGACTTGTGACGCTGCTAGGTTGTTTGAAAGGGTCATAGAAAACACTTCGTCATTAATTGATGTAATACTAACAAACAGGGCTGACTTCATTCTTCATACAAACATCATCCCATGCCATGTTGCCGATCACGAACTCATAACGGTGACGCTTAATTTAAAGAAATCGAAACCACCAGTCAAAAAAAGTTTCCGAGAATTAACCAATTACAACTCTCAGTCATTATGCTAACTAATAATTGCTAAGGAATCAACTCTCTTAGAAATTTTGCAAACAGAACATTTATACAAACAGGTAATTGCCTTTACGAAAGTGATTATTGACAGCATAGACGCCATCGCTCCATTTGTTACAAAAACTGTTAGACGTCTCCCTGCCCCATGGATAAACTATGACATCAAAAGAGCAATAACAGATAGAAATAGCGTTCATAAAGTTCTCAAAAATGACGGACACAACATGGAACTCCAAGGAAATTGTAAACAAAAAAAGAAATGTCAAATCACTTATACAAGGAGCCCAAACTTATTATTTTTTAAATAAATGAACAAATTATAAAAAAGACTGCTAAAACATGGAAAATTGTTAAAACACTTGTACCAAACCAAAAACATCACAGAGATCATCTAAATACCAGAATTAGTGCGAATGAATTTAACGATTTTTTCTCTAAAATTGGACATCTCACATACAAACAAACGCTTCCATATCTCAGCAAAGTACAGGTAGGATAAGGCCACTAGCCAATACTTTCAGACCACAGCCTGTAAAAATAGAAAAAAAGTAATCTTAACAATAAAACACCTGCGTGAAACTAATGCTGTCGGAGTAGAAGGCATTGTTTTTCGCTTCATTAAAGACAGTCTACCTGCAATGGCTTATTATCTAACGGTTTTCATTAACACATCTCTAGTCACTGGAGATTTCCCATCGCTTGGAAAACATGACATAATAACACTCGTTTTCAAATCCGGAGACACAGACGAAGTCAATAACTATCGCCCTATTACCATATTACCTAAAAGTCTAAAAATGATTCACAATTTTTCCACAGGGATTCAGTAAATAATTAGGTAACCTAATAAAAAAGACCCAGGAGACATTGACACTAATAAAAGGATACTTTGACAATTGTAACTGTTACACTTGCGTACTAATTCACTAAATAATCTAAGGGTTTTATCCAAAGTGGCTATTAATCCTTCCAACCGTAGGTCACACAACCTGTGTCCAAAGAAGACAGGTAAACAACTCTCTACACATCAAAAGATCACGTACGTATATAGGGGCATAGCAGACACTAACACGTGGACCCATGATTTGGAACAAATTACCAAATAATATTTTTAAAATATCAAAAACTGTAGTACATTCAAAAAGAATTCTAAAAAACATCTCTTAAATCACAAATGGCATCAGGTTTCAAAATCTAAGAATAGGCATGACTTATATGTATATGTAAAATTACTTTCTTTGTAATAAGAATAACCATTGTAAATAATGGAATGAAGTATTTTGAATTTGAATTCTCTCTCTCTCTCTTCCTTTCTTTCTCTTTCTCTTTCTCTCTCTCTCTTTCTCTCTCTCTCTCTCTCTCTCTCTCTCTCTCTCTCTCTCTCTCTCTCTCTCTCTCTCTCTCTCTCTCTCTCTCTTTCTTTCTTTCTCTCTTTCTCTCTCTCTCTCTCTCTCTCTCTCTCTCTCTCTCTCTCTCTCTCTCTCTCTCTCTCTCTCTCTCTCTCTCTCTCTCTCTCAGATAAGGACACACTGGCAACTCAGTCCCGGAATCTGGTGTACTCCGATTCGCCAACTTGTATTATTTTAATAGCTGACACCTGGAATTAATGTTTACATATTAATTTATGTGTACGTGTTAAATACTTATATGCATAGTTATTTTGGTATCTTGCATTCAAATTTGCCGCCTTCAATACCATGTTCTCAAAAGAGACTGTAGACAAAAAAAATCCGATGTGTAATATATTTTTTGCTATGTAAAGGGGTGAATAGTGACATAGAACAATAACCATGCATGTATTTGCAACATATTGCATTTGATCTTAGAGAATAACTCATTCAAGGTGCAGGTTGATTTTTGTACAATTCGCATGCAGCTCGTAACAGCTACCTTATTCTTCACCAACAAGTAAAGTTTACTGCAATATACAGCATCTTTTTTTTAAATATCGTGGATGACACTTTGCAGTGGTCAGTATACGATGTTTAGTACTGTATAAAGCATACACCTGATAAATGCAAATTATTTGGCGAATTATACCATATGACCTGATTAGATGATTAATATAGTATATTGTAGAATGTTGTAATCAGAAGAAATATCTTCCTCATCACCCTTATTCAGTAGTTTTTATATGGTTTAAAGTGTTTATACACCGACTCAAATGACCCGCTTAAGTAAACAACAACTATGTAAAAGTTGTGTTATAGACACTTCATCCGGAGAACAACATTGCTGGTAGTGAGCGCAGAGTCTTTAGAAATGCACGCACTTGAAATCGTGTTGAATTCCAAGTTAGTTCAGCTTCAAGCAGTAAATTGTTGTGCTCTTTCACGAAGCTCTTGAAGTGTACTCGAACCCAGAGAGCGATGAATGTCTGGCCTCATTGTTTTTTTCGCAGGTCTGCCATGATGAATATGCCCATGGCGATTGTTCATTCTTTCCTCCTGTACAGCAGTTGGGTTCTAAAGTGTATTTTGAAGATTTAAGCA